GTAAATGAAAATGCCAAGAAAAGTGATACGAGTCGATAGAAAGGATTCAATAATGAAAATAAAAAAATCAGTAGAGACAGGACCAACTTACTTGGCGCGGTTTTATTTACAGGATAATGCTAAAATGCAATTTGATTAATAACTAAAAGTGACTGAAGATAATCTTTGGCCCTAGCTCTAGTTCTTGCGAAAAAGCGCACCAAGTAAGTTGGTCCTGTCTCTACTGATTTTTTTATTTTCATTATTGAATCCTTTCTATCGACTCGTATCACTTTTCTTGGCATTTTCATTTACATTTTCTGAGTTTTTTTTAATATCTTGGAATGCCATATTTTGGCAAAACACGAGTTTTTCACGGAATCAATTGTGCGAAACTTTTACTTGGCTGAGTTTTTTTTACAAAAACACCAGTTTTTGTCATTTCGGGAGATTTACTCTAATTTCCACATAATTAGGAGGCTGAGTATGTCAGTATTTCTTATCGAAAATTCGACAGCTCGTGCTTTCGGTCAAAAATTCATATCAGCATTTATTTTAATTCATCAGGAAATTTAAGCTAAGACGTTACAGAAACACGATTTTACAGAATACTAAATTTTGACAATTCGGGTGCTTAAAAATTACTTCGTGACAGTTTTTTTTCGTCAGTTTCGTTCGAACTCAAGGCGAGGAGAAAATTCACATTTATGTCATTCGACCCGCCCTACCCTCGTACTTTTTTTGCCACAGGTAAGCAAGTGGCCGCTTATCACCTTTCTTTTTACTTACCTCTATTGGATAAGAAAAATATTCGGTTAGTCAGGCCCCGTAGCATGAAATAACATATATAGTAACATATGTTACACGATCTGAAAAGTATTTTGACCACATATTTGAACTGAATCAGTGTCTACGGCGCAAATTCTAATTAAATATGTTCCTAAAATGCTGCAACACGATTATTAGTTGCCCCAACGTCAGCCTCGGAAATCTCGAGGGATACTAAATACAAAAATTCAAATTGACACAAACTGACCGCCAAAACACCAACCACTGAGGACGTTTCGACAGATATTCGACAAATGAGTTGCGCATAAACGGTCACACTCAACAAGTGTCCAACGTGCCGAAACACGTCACTCTCGTGTCGGACGGCAAAAGAAATAGTTCTTCTATACACCTTTTGTTACTATTAAGTATTGTCCTTGTCTAAACCATTATCTTCTGCTTTACTCTTGTCAAATATAGTTATTCATTATGTTCGGTGTCTGTGAAATTATTTAATTGTCAACCACCCCAGGAGAGTCGATTCCCGAGGCAGCAACTGTAAGTAGCCCGTGTTTCTGAAAATTCTCTCTCCTTGATCTATTCCTTCTATCGGGTCACCCAAAGTCGAATCAATCCCTTAAAATCAGTCCGTTGCTCTTTCTAAAATTAATACGAATCATATCGAGTTGTCAACGTCGTCAAAGTTGACTGGCGCTCTATTCAATTAATTATCATTAAATCAAACAACTTGAGCCCCGACAGCTCATGACCCAAGCCACGTCGGGTGAGATCTTTTCAACGATTTTATAAATTTCATGATTAATAATCAACCAAAAAAGATCTTGTTTCAATGCTATGCAGTCCGTGTAGCATAAGTTACTTAGTTAGTTCGGTCCGACTAACCGAGTATTTTTATTGGCTGAGGGAGGTAAGTAAAAAGAAAAGCGATTTACGCCCACATATGTAGTATGCGGTACGAGTACGAGGTTAACGCAGGGCGAGTAACATAAAAAAAAATTTTTTCATCAAATCATTCCATCTTCTCAATTAATAATAATCATTAAGCCGGTCGTGCAAGTATTCGATGACGTGGGCGTACTAGTGTACCAGGAAAATGAGCTCGATGACCTTTGTCGTTTATTTTTGGATCACTATGACATATTTCATCAGATTAGCAGATAAGAAAATCCAAAATAAAAACGAGGAATATGAACTGTGAAGTAATGAGTATAAAATATATTCTACATGGTAGATTCCATTTCTTATGCAAGTTTGTATCTGATTTTTCGGCTTAACAGTAATGGGTAATCGCCTGATCTATACCAATATCATAAAAAAATTGTTTTAAAATTTTTATTTATTCCTCGGAATCGTATTTATACAATTTGATCCAACTGTCCGAACGAACTAAAAAAAATTGTGATACGGTCTTCCGGTTAAAAGTATGCAATATGCTTCAGCAGATTATGTGGAATTCCAAAGATCCAAAAGAGCCTGATTGACGAAAAACAAATAAATAGCAATTCTGAGTTGTTGAAATTGTCTTTCTTTGGTTGTAGATGGCAAGCATAGAAGTATCATTATCAACAACACCAAGAAGGAAAAAGGGGGGAAGTATATCCAGGGGAATAACTACCCCTCAGGCTGATCACAGACATAAGAATCAGTATAAAGAGATCGATGCTTTACGAGTCGCCCTGCGGGACAAAGAGAACATCATTCAAACGTGAGCATGGATTTCATTGTTCTTTAACTCATTACAGGCTCTTTCATCCTTGGTCAATCGTTCGAACGCCCCTCGACTATGACCAAGATGATCCAATGTTTGTTCAACACTAAGGTTTGTTTCAGGCTCAAGGGTCAATTATGTGATACATTGAGCAATCGTCTGGCTATTCGGAATACAGCAGCACCACTTACAGACGCAGATAAAAAAGCGACTGAACAGAAACTCGACACGTTAAGTCGTGATACGAACAAGAAGCGGTTGGCGATAAGAAACCTCAAACTCGCGTTGGAGCGTTTGGATATTATAGAGTGAGTTAATTATTATAATTACTAAATTGCATCATGCGATCGACGGTAGAAAATTTTCTTGTCATTCAAGGCTACTTCCATAGAATTGGAAAAGAATCCTTATGATGCCAACATAATTGCTTGTTCCAGGATTTACATAATAATGACATAATTTAAAGAATTGCCAAATATCCATACAGCAGCTGGTAATGTCCAACTGAATAATGCAATACATAGCTGACTAGTAATGTGTTACTGATTGTACTCTTCACTAGATCTTTGAAATCTTGTAATTAATTGTTGATATTCTGGTCGAATTATTCCCACTAGACTCTTAATCACAAACGACTACTTAGAATTGACCTGGAAAAATGGTTTCGATACTGATTTGTTAACTTTTTTACATTAACATTTCATCACGTTGAAAACTCACACATTCAATTGTAATTTTCCTTTTTAAGTGGCCATGTCACATTGGGTTAATTGTTGCGGACGCCGCAGTTACTACGGTTAAAATTTTTATATATATTCGGAAAACTTGGTGTAACCACAAAAAAAAGGAGTTGGCAAATCCCATACAATAGCGAGGAATGTCGGTATGGCCGGCCTAAATGCCGATTATGCGAAGTATCCACAATAAAAGAGACCACCTAGCAGGTATTCAAGTGGCCGTCATTATGGCCTGAGAGGCGTTAAGGAGTGACCATGAAGACGACAGCACCTGGAAACCACGAATCATCTAAAAAGAAGCCACACAAGTGCTGAAAGGCACAACTAAGGAGATCCTTTTCACTCTATTGAATTTGGGGGCCAATAACTTAAACAATTCTCCAATGGTAACCGCAGATGGGAGCTGCCCCAAAGAATTAAATATGTCGGCAATTTAGAGATGGACAACCTCAGCCACGGGTTTGCCGATATCGACAAAAGAAAAGGGAGGCCAATAGGAGGGGTACATCTGCCCCGAGTGCCTCCACCCATTGGTTACAGGGGGTCGGCCGGGAACATGAAGTCACCTGCACCCCATACCTAACGAACGTTATGAGATGGCTTCCAGGAATTGGCACAATTCAACAGATGATTTCTTGTTGTCTAAACAAGTGGACATCTCCAGCCTCAAAGGGTCCACTCCATTTGACACGCGAGGCTTCTAAGGAACAATAGTTATCCATCGTCCAAGGAGGTGTCAAATTAATGAGCCATGAACGTCAGAAAGATGCGTAAACATATAACTTTTGACATTAGAAGAACACTAATTAAAGAGAGGCCAATACGCGCTCGTCCCGTCATTTTCTGAAAAACTTCTCCCGCACCTGGAGAAATGGGGGTTGCATCAGGGTGAGGGTACATTGCCCAGAAACATCCCTTTAAAATACATTGTTACTCATATGAAGATGCCTCCCACCATACCTCAAAAAAAGTTGGAATCTCAAAATGCCAACGGCTGTAGAGGAATCGCACCCGAACAGTATATAGAGGGCGGGTTTTCGCCAAATAAAGGCAGTCGAAATTAAATTTTCGACTCGAAACCTTCAAGTGGTACCCCGCTCGTCATCCAGTTCAACTCTCCAGACCCAGTCTTCAGGGGAGCAACTCTGCAGGACCATCCTCTGACGTCACCATTTGGCGCAGTCCGAGCCTACAACTCGACTTTCCTGGCAACCCCAGATCGAGTGCGCAGCTTTAATCACAACCAACGACACCAACGTAAAATTTCGACTCTTCGTTATTAACGAGGGGCCCGGCTCATTAATAAAGCTGACCCTCCAAGATCCGTCTGTTGGGAAGCAGCTCTGCAGCATTGCCCACTCTCATCGCTACTACATCGAGTGGACAACTTGATTTTCTTCGCTACGTCAGATCGACGAGTGTACTTTGTATTTTTCCCGGGTCAACGCCCCGGGATATTCCTCGAACTACTCTGGCTGCTGCCTCTATCGTTCACGATTGGGCGCCAGCCAGGTTTTTCTGGAAAACCTGACGAAAAACCAGCCGCGAAGGAATTTCGTCAACTCCGCGGACTTTCGGTGGCGGGTCTCACAATGCCGAGCCAGCATCAGCATGACACGGTAGAGTGGGCGAGGTTCACCAACGTACGAGTAACTTCAATCACTAACTTCTGCCGTGCTCACGGCATCGTCAACGATATCTTTCGGGGAACGTATCCCCCAGACTCTCGTGGAGGGATGTGACCATCCCTCGCATGTGGTACTCTCTCCTCTGGGGTGGCTGAACCGCAGACAAGACACAGATTACCTGCGAATCCTTCTCACCCCGCAGGGCGCCAAACTGCTCGAGGCACATGCGACGTAGGTATCCGGAGACATTTCTCACCCACCTAACGTCCACCCCAACTCGAGAGCTCTGTAATAGCAATCTCATCGCGAGTCAAAACTAGAGTTACTTCCCATGGAGGCGCGTGCGACCGGACCGACGGGAAGCGCCTTAAATCCCAGCCCTTAGTCCACCCCAACACCATGGATTTCGCCCTAGTCCATCCGTTACCCCACAGCCACCAATCAACTCGATGGGATCCCGGTCCTTTCACCTAGCCGTTGGTCCCTGGTCTAAGTCGACGGCGCCCTGCGGAACCACCCAGTTGGAACGCCTGTACGTCGGCCCTGGACTCCCTAGCACAGCTGGGTGGATATCCGAATTGGGAAACAGCTATCGTCAGCGCCATCACAGTGTTCCGAAACATGGTCTCACCCTACCACGTTTCTTCCCACTATGTGATTGGTCAAACTCACCTTCGGAGCGGCCTGATTGACCGCCGTCCAATGTCCTACTCATCTTTCACTCGGCTATTTTCAGCCGGCGTTAGATGTCGTTCGTTTCACCTAGTGACTTTACTAGTGCTTTCTCTAGTAACGAGAAAAATCTCGTTACAACTTCAAGGGCGGCAAGCGAGCCGGTTCCATTAAAAATTCTTGACTTTCGACGAGGGGCCCTGCTCCTCAATAAAGCTGACCCTTCAAGGCCCGTCTTTTGGGAAGCAGCTCTGCAGCATCGGACACTCTCATCACTTCTACACCGAGTGGACAACTCGATTTTCTGCACTGCGTCAGATCGATCGCCTTCCTGCAAACCTGCACCGACCTGGTAAATCGCTGAGCGTACAACTGAGCTCATCCTGAGTGTACAACTCAGGTCTATTAACACCACCAACACCTCCGGGGTCATATCATCATCATTACCAGCGCTAGAGAAGTGTGTTTGAGCAGTTTTCGACTCCATCAGTGCTAGAAGATCTACCATACTTTTGGAGTTCTCCGGAATCCGCTGCGAAGAGGAAACACTAAGAGATCACCCCTTCCGTGTTGCCTTTTATTTGAAAAACCGTAAGTTAGAAAATCACACCAACAACATTTACACTATTCTCTCCTGCTTTTTTTTTCCATCTACCTCTGGTTTTTATCTTGGATTTTCTTGTATTCTGTATACCAAGTGAAGCGCAATAAATTTAAATTCTATCTTAAAGGAAACCTAAGGGTATCTTTCTGTTTGTGTGCTAATTCCTCATATTATAACCATTGTGTACTTCAGTACTTAGTCCCGCGCAATCGGCCACACTAAGTGAGATTTATAAGTTCCTTTCTCCTTCGAACACTACCTGTCGTGACTAGTTACTGTCGACTCATCTGAAGGGTTCAGCTTTTACCCGATATTTCGACCTGCCTAGTGATCCAGTGTCCGCTACATACTGCCGATTGATTTTCAATCCAAATTTCTAATATCAATCAGTTGTTGAATGGCATTGAAAATTAATTGCAAATACCAAATCCTCTAATGAAGGGCAGCAATTCGCTTTTCATCGAAATATACAAAAGAAAAAGTAGATTCGATTACCCCAGGGAACTGTAATACTATTTAATTCATATATGTGTGTCCATTCGTTTTCTTCAATAACTGGAACTTTGATGGCCTACTGGACATAAAATAGTAGATGCTTGGACCATTTCCCAATTTTTTCTCCATGGAAAGCATAAAAAAGTTTGGATTGAAACTACTGCCGATAATTTGGTCAATCTAAAACTCAAACGATAATTTCGACTATTTGATGTAATCAGAAGGTGGCTAGAATTTTCGTCGATATAAGGTGTAATGATTTTTCTCTGTGGCCTCAGCGAATACTCGGAAATCCTAACCCGAATTTTCGATTTGCCTAAAACGGCCATAATCATTACCTTCGTTCTCACCACTCCGGTACTCTTAAAACGACAAAACCTTAAAATCTAAAACCCAAACCCCGGGGATGATCAGCAGCAGCTCATCCAATCCGTAAGCAAATATGTAGGGTGCCAGTCAGTTTTTAGCAACGCGGAATTAACAAACCGCAACAATAACTAAATCCGTACTCAACTAAAATCTTACTGACCATCCCCAGAATTCATAAACTCAAAAACTTAACGGAGGAGCCCGGGGTAGCGAGGGTACGGGGTTGCCTGGTTGCTCAGTGTGCGGGTGGTAGAGAGAGGGGTGGATTCGTGGACGAGAGCCTCAATTATTAAGCTTCGAAATAATATCAAGAACTAAAATATTCGGGTATTTATAAGGACGAGGATTCGGGTAGGAAAAATACAACAAATCGGAACTATCCTTACTTGTTTCACTTTTGAACACACGAAGAAAAATGATTTTTTTTTCCATCAGACAGCTTACAATTAATATATTCGCTCAGTCTACATATCATATACGACTGTCACTCGGCCAAAAAAGAAGGATTTACTTTCTATAAAATATAAAGTGAATGATGATAAACGGGAGTTTTATGGGGCAGTGATGAAGAGAGAACCGCTCTTATGTTTATGAAAGTACTTATGTCATTCAGGTGGGAAAGATAGAAAGCTGCAGGGAATCGTATTCAAGAGGGGAGATGTAGCGTAGGGGTTCGAGCGAGAGAGTGAGAGAACCTGAAGGCCTAAATTCTATTAGACAGCCTTATTCAGTCGTTGGGTAACGACTGTCTTCGATTTGGTAGCTTAATTCCCTCATTAGGTAGCGTTATCCGGGGCTTTGGTAGAAGAATCGGTAATCTCTAGCCAAAACACCTAACACCTCCTGCCTTACCTACGGGGCCACCGCCACACCGGGGGTGTAGTAAAATTTTCAGGTAGCGGAAAGGTCCTCCGACGCAACGTATTTTCCCGGTTAGGTAGCATAACCCTTACC